CTTTTTTAAAAAGTTGTGGCAATGTCTCCTCTGTGCAACTCCATCTTGCCAATGACAAAAAAATCAATGAATTGAATGGTTTTGGGAGATTGTTTCCTTGTTCTCCCTTCCAGCTTTTGGATAATGGTTCCTGTGTATCTAAAGATAACCAAAGACTACCCCCCAAGCAAACAGCCATGTACAACTGAATTCCACAAGGGAAGGGATATTGTTCTGCCCACTCGTATATCCAAGCACCCAAGAGGTGTCTGACACATACCTTCACCCCATCCAACTCCACAGGATCAGAGTGGAATTCTGAAAAGTGGAACAAAAGACGACAGAGGGGTGACTGGAAGAAAGGGGAAGTCCACAAAGAGTTTAGGGAAATTTCCAAAAAAACATTCCCTTCATTCCCACAATGTGCTGCATTATTTGTAGAAGTTAAAAGACCAAAAGGCATCAGATTTTCAACTCTGTCATCTATACTTACTGCACAGACTTTAGGAGAAGTGCTACACCTCCAGTTTTACAATTTCAAACAGCAGCTTACGTTAAAAAAAGCGTGGACACTATAGATGGCCTCTGGGTTGAAACATCACTAATGTCCTCTGTCTACTTCAGTTCTCTCTGGCCCTAATTTTCCCATCTGCTTCTATTAAATACTTCACACTCTCCAAATAGAGATGATTTTTCAGCTCTGACTTTTTTTTTTTTTTTTTTTTTAAGTAATGACCATTCACCTGGATAGAGGACTATTTCTGGCAAAGGAAAAAAAAAAAACAAAAACAAAAGTGTAAAAACTGTACTGCAAAGAAAAATAATGATCCAGTCCACCCACAGACATCAGACCCAGGAAGGGTAAGCATCAACAGGAGTTAGGAACTCTGAGAACTGCTCATTAGTTACCACTAAAGCATGAAGTTGAGCAGACACACTTCGGAATCAGAAAGTCTAGGTATGAGCCCGAGCCTTGCTCTTGGTCAAGGGTCTCATTTTCACTCCCTTGTTCTGGGATCTCACCAAACACATCTTTGTCATCTGTAAATTAGGTGATGTACACAAAGCCTAGCACAGGTTCCTGAAGATACACACTCAATAAATGTTGATTATTCTTAGCTATCTAATGATCATAAAAGCATAACAGTATGGTCTCTTATTTAAGTCTTTCAATGCCCCCCAAAAAAAGGTGTGGATGTGTGAATATGTGTATTTTCCTCCAAAGGTATCAATGAACCAAATACACACTGGTGTCCTGGTATTTAAATTTAAATGCCATTCTCTCCATTTACATTTCACTTAAAATTGAAAAAAGTAATAAACCTTTTAAAAAGAAACTAAAAAACAGGGCTGAAGTTGTAGCTCCGTGGTATAACACTTGCCTAGAAGTGTGAGGCACAGGGTTCCATCCTCGGCACCACAAATAAATAAATAAATAATATAAGAAGGAAAATCCAAGTCAAGTTCTAGTTCAAGGTCCAATTCACTTGCAACTTAGAATGTAACATGTCACCTTCATTTCTTCATCTATAAAAAGGGAATAATATACTGTTCTAAGCTCTGATGACCTCAGTGACAAATAAAACTCAATGAGATAAGAGGTGATGAAAAAGATTTCACTTAAGAGAAAAAAGCAGTAAATCCAGAGCGTGATTAATATTCAAATGCCATGCCCAATATTATAAATCAATGATGGTTCTTACATTTCAATAACATTAGGTCTGATAACCTTTTAATCTGTTCACATGAGCCTGCTATAAGCAGGAGGAGCTAAACAGCTGCTCCTTGCAGAGCTCAGCTCAGAAATAGAGTCCATGAAAGCAGAAGAAGAGTCTACCCCTGCCTACCGGTCCAGCTTCTAGTATCCTGTGCCACTTCTCAGATGCCAGCTCCAAAAGAAATTGGAAACTGGTTTTGATTCCATGTGGACATATTAAGCCAACATTAACCAAAACACTCACCTGTGACACTACTAAAATGACCCAAAAAGAGTCAATTCTGGCATTTATTCTTTTGCACTGAGTAGTATTAAGACCTCTTCTAGGGCATGCACCATCCTTTCTTTAAAAACGCAACATATGGGGCTGGGGATGTGGCTCAAGCGGTAGCGCGCTCGCCTGGCATGCGTGAGGCCTGGGTTCGATCCTCAGCACCACATACAAACAAAGATGTTATGTCTGCTGAGAACTAAAAAAATAAATATTAAAAAAAATTAAAAAATAAATAAATAAATAAAAATAAAAATAAAAACGCAACATATAAACCAGGAGGAAGACCTCAATTTTTCCTTGTTTGATTTTTACTTCTAGGTCCAGAGGTGTGTTTCATTTAAAAGCCTACTATTAAAATACCATGAGAACTGGAGATTAGCATAGGAAGGGGGAGGTGGTATTCTTTCTAATTTACTAAGGAAGCAGACAATCAGAGCTGCATCCAGACATAGCACCTTGGCACACACCTGTAAGCAGCTCAGGAGGCTGAGGCAGTAGGATGGTGAGTTCAAAGCCAAGCTCAGCAACATTGAGCTGCTAATCAACTCAATGAAACCCTCTCTCTAAATTAAACACAAAATAGGGCTGGAAATGTGGCTCAATGGTTGAGTGCTCCTGAGTTCAATGCCTGATACCAAAACAACAATAACAACAACAAAAAACTGCATCCAATTTTATCATCCCCACAGCAGGTCTCCCAAAACAAAGGAGGAAAGGAAAAATTCACTTATCATTACTGAATATCTACTATATGCCAGGTGAGCAGTATGCTAAGTATTTTTCCCTACCTTATTTCCAAAGGTGGTTTTCTCCCTCACATCTAAAAACACGAATATATCTTCTCAGATCGGGGAAAAATTTCTACCTGGTGGTAAAGTTTTAAGACATTTCAAAATATTAGGACTGTAAAACACAAAAAGGAGCTTTGGCTGAGGAACCAGGTCCAAGTTCTAAAAGATTCTTTCTTTCTAAGAGAAACACTCAAACATCTTTCTTATAATACTGAAATTAACTCATGCTATTTAATACACTATCCAAAAAATTTTAAAAACTTTTATAACCTGGAGAACAAGAAAACTCACTGTTAGATTAAAATAACCTGGCCAATTTTCTCACCTGAGTACATGCGACAATCAACTGTGGAATTTATAATATCCTCTTAAAGGCCCTTTAGAGATGTGCTCACAGGAAAAGGTGACCACAACAATGAACCCACATCTGTGTGGCCAGGTAATGAGAAGATGACACCTTCTTGCTGGCAATAGCAATTTGTAATAAGATGTCTTTCTTACCATAAAATCTAACTCACTCTCACTCCTGGGGTACAAGCCTAAATGATTGTCTATGTAGCAAACTGTCAAATGGAACCAAATTCACACTGGTGTCCTGGTATTTAAATTTAAATGCCATTCTCTCCATCTACATCTCACTTAAAATTGAAAAAAGTAAAAACACTTTTAAAAGAAACTAAAAAACAGGACTGAAGTTGTAGCTCCTCAGCCTCACATAAAAATAAACACATAAATAAAGGTATTATGTCCATCTACAACTAAAAAAAAATTTTTAAAAAGAAACTAAAAAATATCATCCACAATTCACCTTCATTTCTCGCATTAACCCATTTCATGTAAACCATAATTAATGTCTGCCTTAAACACCAACATTAAAAGAACATAAATGTGGCACACCCCTGTAATTCCAGTGGCTCAGGAGGCTGAGACAGGAGGATCACGGGTTCAAAGCCAGCCTCAGCAACATCGAGGTGCCAAGCAACTCAATGAGACCCTGTCTCTAAATAAAATACAAAATAGGGCTGGGGATGTGGCTCAGTGGTTGAATGTCCCTGAGTTCAATCCCTAGTACCCGCCCAGAGGTGAAAAAAAAAAAAAACAAAAAACAGAACATAAATGTGATTTGTATTCTTGGAAATTATTTCTCTGCATTCAGACTCCGGAGAAAAATTAGCCAAGATATTAGCCCATGACCCCTAATAGGATGAAGTACCGAGGTCATACCTGGGGGGCCTAAAGGACCCCTTCTTCCTAACAAACTATTATGAAAGGGCTGGATGATGCCATCCACGCTGAGCTGAGATGCCAGAAACCTGCAAGTGGGTACAAGCCTAAATGATTGTCTATGTAGCAAACAGAAAGTCACATCTGGCTTTCTGTTAACACCTGGCAAGCCCCAGATCTGTGTAGGGCTCCTCAAGGTGATTTTTAAACTAGGAATTTCCAGTGTGCCATGGAGACCCCCAATAGTGTTAACCACTTTCTAAGGCAGTTAAGGAAGGGAGGGCAGCCCTTAGATAACAGGCCTAAGTGGCTGCCATCACCCCATTCAGTCCACCATGAATAGAAAATTTGTGTTCACTCATGGACACCTGCCATAACGACCTCAGCAACCCACACACAGTGAATGCCAGACTCCAAACAAGGTATACCCAGAGAGGATTTTACCCTTGGAGGCTGGGAATCTCCTCAGAAGCCGCAGGGAGGTTCGCAGCCCCTTCCCAAACCTCTGGACCCTGCTTAAGATGAATGATCTTTATCCCCGCAGCCCCTTGCCAAAAGTCTCCCCCAGCACATCAAATCCAAAGCACTCTCCCCAATACTCCCACAACAAGCGGGAAGCCTCCCATGCCTTCCCCCACTGCCCGCCTGACCTGGAACCGTGCGACCTACACAATCGAACTTGACCTAACATCCGACTCCCGGAGGTCAAAGACAGAGGCCAGGAAGGGCAGGACACGCGAGGAGGGGGTTTCCTCGCAGGCGTTGCCACCCCACGAGTAAAAGGGCTGGAAAGGGACGCCAGAAGGAGGCGCCAAGAGCCACCCCCGGGCTGCAGCCCTACGGGCGGCCCAGGAGGGAGGTCTTTGGCCACATGTCCGATCGCAGTAGTCATTCGCGCCAGAGTCGCCCGCCACGGCGAGCCCGGGGCCCCGGAAACCCCGAGCTCGGAGCGCAGATGGGATGCGGCTCCCTGAGACCGTTGAAACCGGTCGAGGACTCCAAGCCCCGTCCTCACCTCCGCCTCATGTTGCTGTGTCCCCCGGCGCCGGCGTCCTTGTGGCCGGCTGGGCCGCCCAGCCCTCTCCGGGACCCGCAGCTCCGCAACCCTGAGCGCCGGCCCGCAGCTTGCAGCGCGGGCAGCAGCTGCAGCGGCAGCAGCAGGAGCAGCGGCGCCGCCGCCGGTGACTGGGTCTGGGCGGGCACATGGGAGGGCGGGGGCTGCGGCCCTCCAGAACCAACCACAGGACCCCAGCCCTGGGGGCGAGAGTGCTCAGTGAGTCTCTGCAGCTGGCACGGAATTCGGTCTTCAAGACTCTGTGGCTATCTCCAAACTAAGGCTTTACCAGGATCTCATGGATTATATACAAAAGGTAAAGGAGTGGAGCTGTTACCACTCCTTCCTCCTGTTTACCCCCTTCACGGTCCATATGGTACATTCCTCAAAGGCCTTTAGGGAGGGAGAGAAGGAAGAGGTGATTGGCTGGGAATCTTGGAAGGGGGCGAGAAGCCACACAAAATGACCAATGGAAAAACAAGAGGGGCATATCAAAGCCTGCCAGATGGAGAGAAGAGAGGATGCATTTTAAAGGGGACTTGTTTGTTGCTCAGTAGCTGCTATGAAACCAAACTAGATTTTTTTTTTTCCTTTACCTATCCAGAGGTGAAACAAAGAAAGTAATAGAACTTCAATTTGAAGGAAGAAAGAGATGAAATGAATATAAGAGAGAACTGAATCAAATATATTTATATGACTTTGAGTAGTTGAGTAAGTTCAATTCTTGGCCTCAGTTTCCTCATCTAGTCCAATGAGGATGTTGTACCACAGTTGATCTCTGATGTTTTGTGATCCTATCATCCTTGGCACAGGATTTGTTTTTTTTTTTTTTTTAATTTTTTATTGTTGGCTGTTCAAAACATTACATAGTTCTTGATATATCATATTTCACACTTTGATTCAAGTGGGTTATGAGCTCCCATTTTTACCCCATATACAGATTGCAGAATTACATCAGTTACACATCCATTGATTTACATATTGCCATACTAGTGTCTGTTGTGTTCTGCTGCCTTTCCTATCCTCTACTATCCCCCCTCCCCTCCCCTCCCCTCCCCTCTTCTCTCTCTGCCCCCTCTACTGACATTCATTTGTCCCCCTTGTATTATTTTCCCCTTTCCCCTCACTTCCTCTTGTATGTACTTTTGTATAACTCTGATGGCACAGGATTTGTAATGTCTACAATTTCAGGCATGCTTCATCATGTTTAAAGAACTTTGGTTGAAAGTAGGTAGACTTTCTGACAACAAATCCTTTATAGAGACACAAGATCAACCCCATTTTTTGTAAAGACAAATTTAGTATTCTTTCTGGGACCCTCATCTCTTAAAGAAAATCATTCTTATTATGGATACACAGACACTTCCCAATATCTTATTTTCTGCTCTTCAAGAGTCAACTCTTCTTCTTCCTTCTCTCTTCCTCATAATCAGAGGAAGCTTCAATTAATAATTGTTTTTGTCTGTTGAGCTGTCCAAAATTCCTGCCTTCAGCAACAAATTCCACCAATCAGTACTCATCAGGGTTGCTAAAGTGTGTCCCTATCTGAAGTCCATAACACACCACTCAACTATGCATGGCCAATAGTGCTTTCCGTCACATTGCATGTCAAATTCAAGACTGCAAAAATTATTTGGTGGCCTACTCTATTTTAGAGCTTTACACAGAGCAGCTAGGCCTACATTTTGCCTGCCACACTTTGGACCAACTCTACTATATATATTTCATAATTGTTCAACCTCATATCATTTGGTCACTTGACCTCCACCCAACCTGATAACAGATGTTTAAGACACAACCTTTCTAACAGCACTACTCCACGCCAGAGCACTCGTCGTCCATCTATTGTGCAAAGAGTCCCAGAAAGTCCAATCCCGCCAGGTAATCTTCCCAGATTAGTTACCAGAAGCTATTGGAATATAAGAGCTCCCATATCTACTCTGTGCCCTCCTAAATAATTTTCCAAGCTCTCTGCCCCAATATGCATTCCTTATTGACACACTTCCTTTTCTCACCAGTATATAGCCACAGCAACAGCAGCTTATGTTTATTAACTGTTTCCTATGTGCTGTGTATTGTTGGGAAGTGCTTTGTGTTCATTATTTCATTTCACCCTCATATCAACTTTAAGAAGTTCCATTATTATTCCCATTTGTACTATTATTCCTCCAAAGAGGAAACAAAAGCTTACAGAAGCTGATTTGCCTAAGTGCACACAGAGGTCTGATTCTAGTGCCAACCCTCTTAACCCTGAAAGAAAATGCTGTCTTCTGATTTTTTGTGGGGGGTAGGGGGTGGGGAGGTGCTGGGAATTCAACCCAGGGTTTCATGGGTGCAATGCAAACACTCTACCACCAAGCCTCATCCCCAGCCTGCTAATTAAAATCTGCAGCAGGCATGGTGGGGCATGCCTCTAATCCCAGCTGCTCTAGAGGCGGAGGCAGTAGGATCATGAGTTCAAGATCAGCCTCAGCAAAACCAAGATGCTAAGAAACTCAGTGAATAAAATACAAAATAGGGCTGTGGATGTGGCTCAGTGAAGTGCCCCTGAGTTAAATCCTCAGTAACCACTGCCCCCGCAAAAAAAAAAAAAAAAAAAAAAAAAAAAAAAAAAAATCAGCTGCATTCCATTGCAAAAAAAGAGTTAAAAAAAAAATCAGCTGGGGTCTGGGGATGTGGCTCAAGCGGTAACACGCTCGCCTGGCATGCATGGGGCGCTGGGTTCGATCCTCAGCACCACATAAAAAAAATAAAATAAAGATGTTGTGTCCACTGAAAACTGAAAAATAAATATTAAAAAATTCTCTCTCTCTCTCTCTCCCCCCTCTCTCTTTTAAAAAAAAATCAACTGCATTCCATAGAAAAGATGATGTCAATACCTATGTTTTACCTTTATTTCTATACCTGTAATATCATTTGAGCCTCAAAACAATCATGTATGGAGAGTTAGTACAAGTTTGTTTATAGCTCAGAGAGGCTGATCAATTTAGCCAAGGTAAGAAGGCTGGTAAATAATGGAGCTTGGTTTTCCACATTGCAATCCCCATTCCCTGAGTGAACATAACCTTTTATTTTTTTTTGTAGTTGTTGATGGATAGCATGCCTTTATTTTATTTGTTCATTTTTATGTGGTGCTAAGGATCAATCACAAGTGCCTCACACATGCTAGGCAAGTGCTCTGCTACTGTGCTACAGCCCCAACCTCTGAACATAACCTTTTTATGTATGTAACAACCAGACAACAATTGTAAGCAACAAGGAAATAAATACAAAATAGCAAGACCTATGTCATGGGGTTTCAGGAAATTTGGTACAAGAAGTGCTTACAATGGACAGAAAACAAGAAAAGACTTCTATTAAGGGTGAGAAGCAAGGATAGTTGTTTCTACTAGTTTGTTGTCCATATTCTGCTCATGGGCTTATGTCTTTGACACATTGGCAAATTCAATAATAAAAGGCAACAAAAACTGCTCCCACGCCTAGAATGCTTGGCAATTAAATGGGCCCCATGTTCATGAGGAAGGGATTTCTCTGTGCAGTGCCTCTGCCAACCAGCTCCCAGAAGTTCTATTTTGTTATTCAGTAAAATATCCTGCTCCACTGGCAGTTGTAACACAGCCCTGAAAATATTGACTGGGCTAATGATGTCATTCTTCCTAAACTGTTGAAATTCTCACAGGGGTGGACAAGCTAGCAAAATTGTGTGGGAGTAACAAAGTTAATATTGATTAAGAATCCTGAGCTCGCTAATTCTGAAGCCAACTCCTGAATTGCTCTTTGCCAGTCCCAATCCTACTCAATCCAGTTAATTTCCACTCTGAGAACATGCCTGTCTTTTCTTATCCCCAGAGAGCTCTAAAATGTCTCTGCTCATCTGGGCATTTTATTTATTTGGGGGAGGGGGCGGCACCTTCTAGAACAAAAACTGTCAGGTTGTGTGTGGTTATCCTGTGGATCACATATGAAGCACGTACTTCCTAAGTGGGATAAGGGTGATAAACATCAGACCCACTCTGGTAAGGGATGAGTCAGCCTGAGTGCTTTAAAGAGTGTGGGACAGGATTCCATCCAGTTTGTGTGTGTGTGGTTTTGTTGTTTTGGTTTTTTTTGAGACAGGATCCTGCTATGTTACCCAGGCTGGTCTAGAACTCCTGGGCTTAAGCTATACCCCTGCTGCGGCTTCTTAAATAGCTGGGACTACAGGCGAGTGCCCCTGCACCCAGCTTGATTGTCATTATTTTGACATATATATCTCCTGTATTTTTTTCCATGAGCATGTGTATATAGTGTTTTTTTCTATATAGACCCTTTTAAAATTTTTTGATTGTTCTGCTTTGCAACCTACAGTTAATGAACTAAGAATTTTTTCCATGCCACTATGTATTATTTGAAAACATTATTTTAAATGGATGTGTCATATGGCTATACTTTACGTTATTTAACCAAGATTTGATTTTTGGTCATTAAGATTATTTCCAATTTTTCATTATTATATGTAACTTCAAGGGTTATCTATGTATGTGTCTATATATTTCTATAAGTATTTCCTAATATTTCTAAAAATAGAATACTTGATCAAAGAATATACACATTTTAAAAATACCTCATGTACATTGCCAAATTATCTTTCAGGAAGTTAATACCAATTTATATTCCTACCATCAATGTAGATTGGAGATATTTGTCTGAACCCTCACCAATCCTAAGCATTTCTCTTCTTTTGTTATCTTTGCCAATTGGCTAGATGAAAAAAATTATCTAATTATTTTAATTATCTGAAGTGTAGTGAAGGCTTTATTACTCTCCGCATTCCTGATATAGTTTAGATGGAATTTACCACAACCCCCCTCTGGACTTAAAGTGAATGCAGGTAGCTATCGGAGCTACTGATAGCCATTGTGAGTTATGAGGTTCAGTCCTTCCTTTCCAAGCATTCCAAATATAGACCCATTACTGCCATGTATTCAGTTTATTATGACCCCCATGGGTGTTGAGCTTCAAA